CGCGCGAGATGTCGTGGCGTGTTTTGATTGGCTACGCACGTTATTTTTACGTGCGTAGTACTGATGTAATATTTCTTCCACCCACCCAGTGCAGTTTCAGGACAGCGTGATCTAACACATGGGTGGACCAGAAACCAACCGACTTGCCTACTAGACTTGCAGTCGACATGTGGACCAACACTATGGTCAATAGTCCCCATGCTTCATTATTCAAGCAGACAATATCCACTTCCCAAACCAATAAAATAAAAACTGAAACATCGATCAAGCATAATGGACCCACGTTTGATAAAACTGCAGTAAGGATTTCCATAAACTGAAGCTCTTCAACAGCCGGGAAAAAAAACAATCCCGCAAATAAAGAACCCTATAAGAAAAATTTAAGAGCAGAGCCATACAGATAACTCACCGTGGACATACTCTCCAGAAGTAGAACTAGCACTCAACTGGGATTGCGTATCGCCGCCGGCGCTGGCTTGAAGATGGCCGGAGATTGTCCTTAGGCGGCACTCAGCGGTGTTCTCCATGGACATCCGTTTCCTTCCTTTCCCACGCAACTTTGCTGCTAGGTGTTGAGAATGAGAACAAAAAACAACCGATAAAACCCACCAGTAGCAGCCAATCGATACCCATTTGGCACCGTAGACTAACTATAATATTCAATTTTTATTCTACAATTTATATTAGGAATTTTGCATTGGTATCACATAATTCTGATATATTTACATATCTTGCAACTAAACCTCTATATTTATATACGGTGCTTCTATAGTTAGTGCTGGCTTTTATGTGATATTAATAATTAAAATATTGTGTGTGTTAATATAAAAGTTTAGTGTAAGATAAGTAAATACATAAGAATTGTGTGCTTTTATGTGAATGCCTCAAAATATATTTTCAATTTCCAAATACTATATATTTTACATTTAAATTTAAATATTACACCCGTATTATTCAAAATATTTGAATAAAATAAATAGAACCTCCTTGAAATCTCTAACCCTCTCACTCATACAAGAGGTAGCAACTCTATCATAGTCTTAGATCCCTATTCCCCTTTATGCTTGAACCCTTACGATACAGTTGCAACTAGAGTCAGTTAAGAAAGCAACGACAGGATTGTGACGTATAGAGCCCATTGACACCCGCCTCTAGCAGCCTCATTTTTTCTTATCATCTATGTTTTAACGGACAACTATTATTTACTGAGTTTGATTTTTCAAGCTCACCCATTAATATTTTTATATAACAGGTTTCACTCAGTCACTTACCAAACCATTTCCAACAGAGCTGGCTTTCCATCTTTAAATCTACTTTTGGTACTTTCAATTTCACATTAGTTGTTATATTGTCGTTTTTTAGGTATGAGTAATTTTTTCCTTAGTTTCATATTAGCTTGTTTAAGTGATGTTATTTTTTTGACGTATTAGTTAGACGCTTATTTAAGGAATACATTTTAGTTTTCTTTCTCTTTATGTCATTATATGCATACATTTTTTTTCTTAAAGAATATGAAACATGTTTAATTGTTTTTATCATGTCATGTATTGTGAGGGTGTGCTACCTTATAAACCCGAGTTATGACTGAGTGGTATCAAAGTTTATGTTTTGCATTTAGGTTTTCTCATATTTGTATTCATTTTTTCTCATATTCAGTTAGTCAGTTAGTTATCCAACCAATGTTGATTTATAAGATTTAGGGTTTGTTTGGGACAGTTGCAGCTTATTGAATAATCTGTTGATAAGCTAATTAAAAATAATATGCTTATAAGCTAGGTGAGGTGGCTACTACAAATTTTTTATTTTTTTTTTTGAAAGCTAGACCGCTGTCAGAAAGCTGTCACCGCACATATATAGGTGCGATGTGAAAAGTGAAAACACATTTTCAAAATGCATAAGCTGTCAAAATGCATTTTATTCAAACAGGTTAGGTGCATTTTCAAAATGTCACCGCACAAAATAAGCTACCCCAAACGGACCCTTAGAAAGTCGATGTTAGGAAAAGTTGGCAAGGTTGTTTCATCTCCCCCATCAACAACCCATTCTTAGCAATGCCTGTTAGTTCCTCCCCGTGGAAAAATCCTTCGAAGAGAACGAACTTCATTTCCATTGTTTTATTTTTATCCTCATTCAATTCTATGTCATCTCATCTGCCTACGAGCATAGGACAATCAATAAATTTAAGAAGGATACATCAACAAAAAAGTAGTAGCTCGTATTACCTTTAGAAGTAAGTACAACCACATCCTTCTGAGTTTCCTTCATAGCCTCAATGACTGGATATTCAGCTGATTCAACATATTTCATAACAAAATTATTAAGAAAAGTCACAACTTACAATCATTCATTTAAAGATTTTTATGCAAAAGAACAGTTAGAATATCAATGTATAGTCATACATATCAAAGAATATTAATACACTACCAACAAATTTTCATCATCTGTCACGAATCTTGAGGCAATATTTTGAGAAAAAAAAATCCAAACTTCAATGAAGAGTCATCCAGAGCTCTGATTTTAGTAAACTTATGGTCAAACTGACCGGCTCGATGAGACAGATCCAATGATATAAAAACTAGTCCAATCCGAGCTAGATCAAATCATTAAACCACTCTTGGAGGATTTTTGGAGGCACCTGGAAGGTCAAACGGATGTAGAATCTAGCGAGTTTATAATCGAATCAAGCATTTCGACAAGATAAATCCAACGAGACTAAGATTGCTCAATTTCAACGTTGTTAAAACACTCAAATGTCCATCAAACGCCATATGATCGAGGGAAGCTCCTCGGACCGTCGGATCAAGATAATTCATATTTATGCATTAACTACACCCAAAACACTATAAATAGAGCCCCACCCCTCACATGAGGGGAGAGGCTGTAGAGAGAACTTAAGGAGAAGGAGCTCAAGTCCAACTTCCCTGTTTCAGTCGATCGTCATTGACCACCATCGACCGTCCAAGACCAACGCCGACCTCCGTCGACCACCGCTGACCATACGTTGTCAGTTGATGTTATATCTTGGAAAATCTAGTAACCATTTCTCGTTTATGGGACAAGTGTCCTCTGTAATCAACAACTTATAGTGGATTTTTATAATTGAATCAGGACCCGTGATTTTTTCCCTTTACGGGTTTTTCACGTAAAAACTTATAGTGTTATCATAGGTTGTTTCTCTTTCATCTAAGTGTGTGTTGAATCCTCGTGCAATGCTAAGATGATAAAATCTATCACCGCAAATTTTCTAGCACGCATCAGTTTGGCTCCGTCAATGGGAAGCTCTCATTCCCACCACTGAAGTACTTGCTCAATTTCATACATGGCCACCAGACAAAATATTCGGGATAATGGAGCACCTCACCCCAACGCCCATCATTTCAGGGAGCTGTCACAAAGTCAAGGGCAACATGTTTCTTCATCTTTCCGCCCTAGAAGATGTTATCCCGCAAACAAGGCGGTTTCAGGTCCTTCTATGGAAGATCGAATGCAAAAAATGGAGAAGTCTCAACTGGAGATTATACAACTCCTACGTGGGACCCAACAATCGTTGTCCATACCAATGAACGAAACTCGTTTACCATTAAATCCACAAACTGTGAGAAACATGTTGCACAGATGAGCTCGTACTAGCCCCCTCCTCAAGAAGGAACACTTCTCTTGTGAGGTCATGATGTTGAACTCCTAGATACTCAAGTTCCACTTATCCATCTCGTGCAACTCACCCGACATCGCCACATCTTCCTGCCATTATAGATGATGTCATTCGTAACAAACTACGATGCCTCATCCTGTAATTATTCCCCATAGAGAAAAAGGATCGGCTCTACACTCACCGTAAAATCCATGAATCCTCTCACTTAGCGGATGCGGTTCTCCAACACCCCATCCCAACAGGCTTCAAACTTCAGAACATCGATACATATGAAGGGATAATCAACCCCTACGAGCATATTGATCATCATCAAACCATCGTGCATATTCAACCTGCCCCTAATGTGCTTCTGTGTCAAGTGTTCCCGACTACTCTTAAAGGACAAGCTCAAACATGGTTATACTATCTGTCAGGGGGCAATGCAAACATCTTTAATGAGACTGTCAGACTGTTTGTGGAACAGCTCGTAGCAAACCGACGGATCATCGATGATTCATTCCATCGCTCGGGAATTCGTCAAAGCAAAGAAGAATCATTGAAGGACTACTTTTGCAGGTTCTCTACTGAAGGCCGACAGATTCCAGGAGTAGATCCAGAGTTACTAAGAGAAGTCTTCCTTGGGGGGCTCTGCCCAGGACCCTTCTACTCATCATTGATGCAAAAGATAGTTTGTTCTTATCTTGGCCTTGTTCATCGTATTAAGGCACAAATTTCTACAAATGAGGTCATCATTGCTCAAAATGAACAATTTGAGCGATTAGGGGGCAAGCACAAGCTTAATGTTGGGGATACCAATCAAATATCACAAAAAAAAATATTAGACCACAGGATAATCGTTAGCAACGATCAAAAAAAAAATATACGCCACTCAACACGTCACATGTTAACATCTTAATGACAATCAAGGATGAAAAGACTGTCAAGTGGCCAAGGCCGTTAAGAATTCCAGATGGTGGAGACCATTCTCAATATTGTCATTTCAACCGAGCAAAAGAACATTCGACATAAATATGTTTTCAATTAGGGAAGAAATTGAACGTCTAATATGCCAAGGTCACCTGGGTCGTTACTTACAAGAACAATGTGAGTAGAACCAGAAGAGAATCATTGGAGTTGTCGAATGAGAAGTATAGCTCCATGTCATCTTATACGAGTAAAAGACTGGCTTATGAAATCTTAATTTTATTTTAACAAAATTTTCATATTATTTTAAAATGTCATTTAATTGAAATTTTCTTATTTTCTCACAAAAGAATTTTGTGTAGAAAGCCCCATTGAGAATAAGAAGCTACTATGCCCCTAAAAGTCAAGCGCAAGAGACAAGACTCGACGGGAAGATACAGTACTCCTAAAAGTCAAGTCTAATAAACAAGACTCAATAAGAGGCTATTATGCCCTTGGAAGACGAGACCAAGAGACAAGTCTCAATGGGAAGCTAGTAGTGGACAAGGTTCTCACTAGAAAGACTCCATGAGGGCAAGTAGTTGACAGGGTCTCCACTAAAAGACCTCAGAATGCTACAAGTCTTAGAAGATACATCAAAGTCCTTAGATGGCTACAAGCCTCAGAAGACACAACTACACTTAAGGACTTCAGAAGGTTATAAGCCTCAGAAGACACAGTTACATCAAAGGCCTCAGAAAGCTACAAACCTCAGAAGACATAAGTGCATAAAATTCCTCAAAAGGCTATGAGTCCCAGAAAAATTTTGCACAATTAAGAAGTCAGAATAATCGTGGAAGCAACAAAGAAATACATTGTTATCACCTACAATTGTTACGACAGATGATTAAAAATGCTTCAAATATCAATATATACATGTATAATGGCTACAACAAATCAGTTCATCTTCAATTAATGCAGCATCTCCTTCTTAAAATTCCATTACTTTTGATGATCGTCAAGGGGTCTCCATATATTGCCACTACATAAGCATGAAAATCTCCTCTCATGGCGAGACGAGAAAATTACATCATTTCTTCATCACCTTAAGTACGTGCAAGAGCGGCATGAGATTCTAGTCCAGAAATAGGACTCAGTTGCTTCATTGCAGCAACACGCCGCTTCGATGCTCCGCCGCAACACTTTATCGCAACTCTTCGTCGCACCACTTTGACGCAACCCTTCGCTGCAACTCTTCACCTCAACGAGAAATAGGACCCAGTTGCTTGCCTGCTACTCATGACGAGGACGACTTTTTTCTTTCGGGAAATCTTGAATCAACTGTTAGGTAGGGATGAAAACTCTACAATTTTTTCCTCTCATTGGCCTATTTATAGGCTGAAAAACCCCCTATATTTATGATAAAATTAATTAGAGTCATTAAAAAATTAGTTATTCATTAAAAAAATAAAAACTATTTGCAATAAAAATTATATATATATATAATTTTCGATTTTGGGTTCATCGAAAAACATGCCAGTTTAAAAAATATAAAAATATAAGGATATAAATTATTCTTATATACAAGGAAAAAAACCATATATATATGTTGATACATACATAAGACAAAAATAAAAAAGTTCTAGATCTGGATATTTTCGGACGACCAAATCAGACTCACCCGAAAATAGGGGGGCAACTGATACGCCACCAACAAATTTTCATCATCCGACACGGATCTCGAGGCGATATTTTGAACAAGAAACGTCCAAACTTCAATTAAGAGTCATCCAGAGCTCCCATTTTAGTAAACTTATGGTCAAACTGACCGGTTCGATGCGACGAACTCAATGATATAAAATTAGTCCAGTCCGAGTGAGATCAAGACCGGATCAAATTTTTAAACCACACTTGGAGGATTTCTGAAGGCATTTGAAAAGTCAAACAAATGTCAAATCTAGCGAGTTCATAATCAAATTGAGCGTCTCGACAAGATGAATCCAACGAGCCTAAGATTGCTCAATTCCAACAGCGTTAAGGCACTCAAATGTCCATCAAACACCATCCAATTGAGGGAAGCTCTCCGGACCGCCCGATCAAAATTTTTCATATTATAATATTTTTTACATTGATTACGCTCATAAAAATATAAATATAACCCCACCCTCACATGAGGGGAGAGACTGAAGAGAGAACTTGAGATGAAGGAGCTTAAATCCAACAACATTCCTGCATTCGTCGATCGCCGTTGACTACCACCTATCGCGAGCGACCAACATCGACCTCCGTTGACCACTGCCGATCACCACCGACCACAGCTGATCAGACGCCGTCAGTCGATGTTATAATTTGGAAAATCTAGTAACCATTTCTCGTCTGCAGGACAAAGGTCCTCTGTAATCATCAACTTATAGTGAATTTTTATAACTGGGTCAGACCCCGTGGTTTTTTCCCTTCACGACTTTTCCATGTAAAAACTTATGGTGTAATCATAACCTATTTCACTTTCTATCAGAAGGTGTGTTGAATCATCGTGCAATGCTAAGACGATAATCCATTACTGTACCGCCACAAATTTTCTAGCACACATCACATATCAAAAATAAAATAACATTTAGATTTAAAAATGTTGATTGTGCTTAACCACAGTGACACTTCATAGTTGTAGTTTAAATTCAATGTATTTTTTAATTTTTTTTAGGTTTATGTAAAACATAAGAATATTCATTAAATGTAAATTTTATCGAAAACTTCAACACAATTGTTTTTTAGATTTTGATTTTTATTTGTATTTTTTGTCATCTTCTTTAGTTTGTAAAGTATTAAATTTGTAATAAATTAGCTCTTATTTTATAAATTTTTTGAAAATAATATTAATATTCTTATTGTCTAAAATTTTGTATTAAGTTTGTTCTTGTAATTTTTTTAGCTAATCAATTTTTTTTAGATAATAAATGTCCTGAACTATTGTATAAAGCTTGCTATTGAAAAATTTTTATATAAAATGATTAATTAAATTTCTTAAAATAATAAATAATATAATAATTTTATATTCTAACGAGCCAATTTCGAGCCGAACACGAGCTAAACACGAACAATAAATTATTATTCGAGCCGAATAGGAACACACTATTCACGAGCTATTTCAAACACGAGCCAATTTCGAAACTAAACCAATTTGGAACTAGCCGAACACGAGCCCAGCCTGAGCTCGCTCAGGCTCGGCTCGTTGACAACCCTATCCTTGACTTGATACTTAGTTGATTCAACATATTTCATAACAAAATTATTAAGAATAGTCACAACTTTTGATCATTAATTTAAAGGTTTTTTATGCAAAAGAACATTAAGAATAACAGCCATACATATCAAAAGAAGATAAAATAACATTTAGATTTAAAACTTTTGATTGTGCCCAACCACATTGACACTTCATATTCTTCATCATATAAAATTAACTTTTTTCAACCTATATCACTTTTCATATAAATATCTATGAAATTTTTAAGAGAAATATTCATTTGCACCATCAATCTTTTGCATCTTTTTAATGTTAAATGCCTAATCGCCTTGCCTAATTTTTTTAATTATTCTTTATATAATACAATAATGCTGGTTTTTAATTCATGTTTAGATAATAGATTGCGAGCATATAATATCACTATTGAAAAAAACAAATATTTGAATTTGATTAGATGTGCGAGCAAGCCAACTCTAACTCAACTTGTTAACAAAATTGTGAGTCGAGCTCACTTATTTTGTTAGGAATTTAAGTATAATTTCATATTTGAGCTAAACCGACTTGACCACAATGTCACCTCCCAAAAGAGTTATTAAGAGAGGCGGACAACCTGAGACTTAAATTCTACTTTTCGGCCCTACACATAGCCAATATGAGACTATTTGTCTGTGATATTCTCCTCCACCCATTCACGTGCCGCCCTCGTCACGGATCGGCTTCGCCGAGAGTCCCACTGAACCATGGAGAGTCCACACACCTGATAGACAGTGATCTGCTCTGATACAACTTTTCATATCACAAAAGAGCTCTTAGAGGTGGTGGACAGTTCAAAACTTAAATATTGTTTTTTGACCATACACCTAACCAATATGAGACTATTTGTTCGTGACAACGAGCTAGTTTTCACATGTGACAGGTTAGACTGCCAACTTATATTTTTTTAATTTTATCATTTTCTCAATAATTTGATGACCACAATAGTGCATATTTTAATTAAAAAATAAGCGCCTCATGTTAATTTTTTAAATAGATGTATCTAATTATATATATATATATATATATATATATGTATATAAAATATAACTTTTAGATTTTTTTCAATTTCACCCATTACGAAGAATATTTACAAATTTGTACAATTTTAAAATTTTAAGGGGCAAAATCCCTAATTGTTTTCCGCAATCGCTATCGCGTGTTCTGTTGACCTCTCGCCGCGCTGCGGAGCCCTGCAACCGAGAGATGGGGAGCTCCTGCGACTCCCGCCTCGAATTTGGGAAAATGGAGCACGGGTTATCTCTTGCGCCTCTATTCTCTATTTTCTTTCGAAACTCCTTATATTTTCCTCAGAGTTTTTGGATTTCATTTCTGTATCCTCTGCTTCGATTAGGTGTAAGCACTACAGGAGGAGATGCAAAATCCGAGCACCATGCTGCAATGAGATTTTCCATTGCCGTCACTGCCACAACGAGTCCACGGTAATCTCTGAAGCCGATTCGCTTTCTTTCCTTTTTTTTTTTTTTTTTTTTTTTTTTAAGTTATATCTATATGCATATTTTGTCGTGCCCATCTTCTGCCTTCAGCCTGTCTTATTTAAATTTATAAGTGCAGAGTAATCGCCATGAGCTCTGTCGTCATGATGTCAAGAGCGTAAGCGCGCAATCTTTTATTTTGAATTTTTTTTTTTGGCAGGAACTTGTTTGATCGATACGTGTTTTTAATTTTTTTACAGGTAATCTGTTTGATTTGCGATTGCGAACAGCCGGTAAAGTGGGATATTTTGATATTTTTAGTTGCAGGTTTGGCTGTGTTTTATTTTTACTGGATAATTTTGCTTTAATATTAGGTGGCTAAAGTGTGCGCCAACTGTGGCGTGAATATGGGGGAATATTTTTGTGAGGTTTGCAAATTTTATGATGACGACACTAATAAGGGACAGTATCATTGCGACGAGTGTGGTATATGCAGAGTCGGGGGCCGAGAAAATTTCTTCCACTGCCAAAAGTGTGGTATGCTAACTTTTTTTTTTCTCCATTATTTGCTTTTGAGAATTTTTGTTCAATTTTGAAGATCTGCATGATAAAAATTTACCTTGCATGGTGTGCTCAGCTCGTGATCGGGCTCACTCGCTTGGTTATCTATTAAGTTTGGATCATATTATGAAGAGGCATGAGATGTTGAAATTCAATATAAAATTTCTTACCAACTATAACTGGAAATCTGTCTTTAATTTTTATTTATGAAAGTTCTAGTTCTAGAGAAATGAGCATCCTTGGCTGAGCAATGTTTGTTTGACATTTATGAGCCCAAGAAAGAATGCATCTGCTTCCAATATAATTTTTTTTTTTGTATGAGCAACTAAAGAATAATGAATCCTCAAAAAGGGGTCACCAGTTCAATGTATTGCTATAAGCAAGGAAACATCTTGATCTTGAGAAACTATGAGGTTATAGAAGAATTTTTATTAGCATAGGCAATGCCAATTTGGAAAACTTGAATTATAGAAAGTTTAGAAAACAACGTACCCATTTGAGAGAATGATACCGGTGTTAACTCAAACCACAACGAAAACATAAATATTATTTCCGAATTCCAAACATATTACAAATACGATATGAGAAAACAAGAAATAGATGACAAACAAACATGAGAACATAAACAATAAAAGACGTCAATGGGGAATGACAAGGACAGAGGCTTCTGGATGGTGGCTGGTGGCTGAGGAAAGAGGCTTGCGACTGTAGGGAAGTGATGGGCATCCACTGGAACAACAAGACAACTTGGGGTGACAACCAAAACATCAGCCAATTGTTGTTTGGGGCTGCTGGATAACAGGAAAACAACAAACCGAAGACGTTGCGTGTTGCGATGGCGAAGGTGGAGGGTTGGGACAATGAAGGCAACAAGGAAGGGAGGATAAAATGATGGAGTGGTTGGAACTGCAGAAAATAGTAAATCCTTGCTGTTCTGGGTGGTGGCAGTAAAATTGGCAATGGTAACGACTTCGAACCTCAACTGGAGAGGTGCAGAATGCGATGGAGGCTGGATTGGATCTGCTCAAAACACTTTAATATTTGCATATGCTCAACAATTTTTGCTTGATCTAAAAATTAAACAAAGATATTTGCAACGCTTTTAAATTCTAAGACATTTGCAATAAAAAAAAACCAAATTCTCATGAATTTATATTTAAAAGATCCAGTACTGGTCCTAAATTTTCTCCATACAATTCTTTTCAAGTTTGAAGAACAGGATAGAGAAATATTATTACCAAACGTGAAAACTGAGATATTTATAAAAGCAGAAAATCAAGTCCTCATAGATATATTTTTAAAAGAACCAACACTGCATCTGAATTATCAATATACAATCGTTTCCATGTTTGATGGAGAAGAAAGAAAATGCAATCGTTGTTCTAATATGAAAATTGAGACATTTGCAATTGAAAAAAAAACCGAATTCTCTAAAATTACATCACTAAAATTCTCTCTATACATATCTTCTAAAGTTCAAAGAAGATGAAAGGGAAATTCCATCACTAATCTAATATGAAACCGAAACGTTTGCGATAGCAGAAAACCAAATTATCTTGTTTGTATTTTTAAAATAATTATCACCGCTCTTAAATTCTCTTCAAACAATTCTCTTAAAGTTTGAATAAAAGGAAATAAAATTGCAATTACTGATTTAACCTGAAAACTGAAACATTCACAATAGAAACGAAATCAAAATTTCATGTATATATTTTTAAAAGAACAAACACTGCTCATAAATGTTTTCCATATAATCATTTCTAAGTTTAAAGAAGAGAAAAAGAAAGTATCATCACTGATCTAACATAAAAACTGATACATTTGCAATAACAAAAAACCAAATTCTCATGGATATATATTTCAAAAGAACGAACACTTCGAAACTCTATTCATACAATCCTTTCAAAGTTTGAAGAAGAGGAAAGAGAAATACCATTACTGACGTATCACGAAGATTGAGACATTTGCAATAGCAAAAAATCAAATTCTGATGTATGTATTTTCAAAATAATTCCGCACATAAATTCTCCAAACAATCATTTCAAAGTTTAAAGAAGCGGAAAGGTAAGTTTAATTGCTGATTCAACATAAAAATTGAGACATTCACAATAGAAAAATAAATAAATTCTATTGTTCAGTTGCTGATCTAACATATTTTCAACAGAACGAGCACTGGTCCTAAATTTCCTCCATACAATTCTTTTCAAGTTTAAAGAAGAAGAAAATAAAATACCATCACTGATGTAACATGAAATTTAAGACATCTGCAACAACAACAACAACAACAACAAAGCCTTAATCCCACTATGTGGGGTTGACTACATGAATTCTTTTTCTCCATTTCGTCCTATTTAGTGTCGTATTTTCATTTAGTTCTAGTAAATTAAGATCATTTTTTATACAATAAGCCCAAGTCTTCCTAGGTCAACCTCTGCCTTTCTTAACACGAGTCGAATCTAAAACATCTACTCTCCTAATCGGATCATCAGATGGTCGACGTTTAATTTAAGACATCCGCAATATCAGAAAATTAAATTCTCATGGATAACTTTTTAAAAGAACAAACACTGTTCCTAAATTATCTATAATACAAATCTTTCTAAGTTTGAAGAAGTGGGGAAAAAAAGCATCACTGATCTAACATGAAATTTGAGACATTTGCAATGACAGAAAATTAAATTCTCATGTATATATTTTCAAAATAACTAGTACTGCTCCTAAATTCTCTCTAAACAATCCTTTCAAAGTTTTGAGAAGAGAAAATAAAAATGCAATTATTGATTTAACATGAAATCCGAGACATTCTCAATAGAAAAAATCAAATTTTTATAAATATATTTTCAAAAGAACAAACACTCCTCATAAATTTCCTCTATACAATCCATTCCAAGTTTAAAAAGAAGAGTAAAGAGAATTCAATCACTGATCTAAAATGAAAACTGAGGCATTTGTAATATCAGAAAACCAAATTATTATGGATGTATTTTCAGAATAACCAGTATTGCTCGTAAATTCCCTCTATATAATCCTTTTCAAGTTTGAAGAGGAGGAAAGAAAAATGCAATCACTGATCTAACATGAAAACTGAGACGTTTGTATATAAAAAAAGATTAAATTCTTATGGATATACTCTCAAAATAACAAACGACAATATTTTCAAATTTTGAAGAAGAGAAAAGGGAAATGTGATCACTAATCTAACATTAAAAGTGAGATTTACAGTAGCAAAAAACCAAATTTTCTTAGACATTTTTTTTAAATAACAAGCACTGCTTCTAAATTTCTTTCATACAATCCTTTCCAAGCTCGAAGAATAGAAGAAAAATAAAATTATAGATCTATCATGAGAACTGAGATATTTGCAATATTAGAAAATCAAATACTCATGGATGTCTTTTCAAAATAACTAACACTGCTCTTAAATTCTATTTATACAATATTTTTAAAATAACCAACACTATTCATAAATATAAGAAAGCCACTAAAGAAACAAAGTCACCAAAGCTCCGAAACATCTAAAAAACCAAATAGTAAAACAAGAAAGACAAGGCTAAAAGACGTAACAAAATAACAATATACCATAACCAAACCACAACAACAAAAAGAAGAAGAGACATTATACATACAAAGAAAAGAGGCGATGACATCTGAACAAGTTTGGATCGAGATTTCGCCCTAAAACCGCAACATCAAAGAAAGTGGTGGGAGGGGAAATAAAAGGCAAAGCGAGGGTAAAATCGTGGATATGGGGAGGTATAATGCCATTTCCATGGGGGAAGGGATTTTTCAACCAAAACGGGGCATCCGTCGTGGAACGCATCAGCTCCCATACGTTCCCCCTTTCTCAGTTATGCGGATGACTGACACCGAAAAGCAGGGCAACAGCCGAATGCCAATCACGTCAAAGTGCCTTTCGAAAACAAAAAAAAAACCCCAAAATGGCTCCTAAACAGGCCCTTAGTGGTGCAGAAATGAAATATTCGAACCAATACCTGATAAAAATAATTATAATAAAAATTTAATTAATCATGTTCGAGCTAAGCATGAACTTAATTCGAACAAATGGGTTTGAATCAAGCCAAATATGAATGCGTTATTCACGAGCCATTTCAAACACGAGTCAAATACAAACAATAAATAATTTGAATGAGCTGAATACAAACAAACCTAGATCTCGCTGAAGTTCGACTTTTACACCCATAGTGAGGAGCATATCAAGATCGTGAAATGAGCAATGTTTTGTATTACAATACTGTACCAAACCTCATAAGTTAAACTGAAGAACTTTTCCTTCGGTGTGAATCTAGTCGACAGTGGATTGAATCCATATGGAAACACCAAGTCAAAGTTACACATTCAACATTTATGAGAGGTGTCAACCCAAACTTTTTCCTATGTTGTGTCCACTATCATCTCTTTACTTCCCCTAAACCCTTCTACCATGAAAGTGGTCAATACCACATTCTTATTCTCTGAGCAAATCGTAACATAAAAAAAAAATTCAAACCTTCAGTTGTTAGCTTCTGTAACTATTGGATCACTGACACCTCCTAAATTTCGGTGGCTTGAATTTCTGAAAAATTCTTAGATGTTCTTCAACTTTTGAACCAAATTTAAGTTTGGGCACATCTTGTGGAGGATTTTTTAATAAAAGCCATCTTGTCAACCACATGGGATCGATTTTATGATATATTGCAGCTCATTTTATTTAATAATAAATTGTGCAATCATAGCTATTCTTCTCATTTGCTCTATATTGTGATCTACTTCTATTAGAATTATCTTCTGCCTTGATTTCTAATTCTATAGGTTCTTGGAGAATTAGTGATCCATTTTTTTGGGCATTTTCTTATATATGTTTATCTATAATTGCATAATTTGCTATTAAATACAATTTATTATATAATAATTGACAGCATGAATTGTTTCCCAAATCATTTGAATCCATTATTTGAATCAAATTGAAATTTAGCTTT